AATAAGTATAAAACTAAATTTATATTATATAAATAAATTTTTTTAAAGAATCTAATCGTGTCAAAGACGCGTCGTGTCAATACTTTTTTTGAAAAATCTCGTGTCGACATATCCGACACGTATCCGTGTCAGTGCATCATTGTTGGTAATATAACTCTACCTAGGAGCGCCTTGTTATTTTATACGTTGCCTATAGTGAAAATGTAAATATTTTCTCTCTTGTAATGAGAAAATATTGTTATCATGGACTTTTTTGAGTATTCTCTGTTGCTATTTCATAAAATAGCTTAAGCTATATCAAAGTAATCAAGTATCCACTTATTAAAGCTTCGAAGAGTTCTTCAGTCAAAAGATTTGATCTTCAATATCCCTCCAAAGTTAAATTTCTGGTGGTCACTTATTTTGCACTTGTTAATCTTTGAGGTCTTGAATATGCACGACATATTGAAGAATAGATGGTCTTACCGAGGATTAAGAAATTGGAAACTGTTGGGAGTTAGAAACTCTAATTCTATACCACCAGTAGCAATAAAATCGCAGTAAAAAAATAAAAGAACACACAAGATTTATAGAGATTCGCTTCAGTGTAAGACTACATCCTTATTTGCTGCTGTAATAATTCTATATGATGAAAATAAGTTTACAAGAGAAAAATTGTACTTTATTTTCTCCAAACCTCTCTCTTTTTGCTGATGATGAAATAAACCCTAATACAGCTCTTTATTTATAAAAAAGAATTATAACAAAATCGAAATTACAAGTGAAATATCTAAACTATCCTTAATGAAATTTTGTCCCGGAACTTCACCCCCACACCCCAGGAAGGGGGCTTCCTCCCCCCTTCCAACGACGATAATTAGACCCACAACTTTTAAAAAAAAAACGTGATGCAGGTTATGCAAATGTTCAAGATCACTTTGCGTGTAGGTAGTTCCAATTGGCTGTAGAGAATACTTCAATTCACTGTTTTATGAATACAGTTCTGTAGCTAGGTATCAATCTTACTTACTAGTTATATGAACCAGAGCTGGATAAAATTGACTATGAAATAAGAGAGAGTTCTTTTCCGATACATGAAGTCTTGTGTTATGGCTTATCTACGTAGTAAGACCAATATTTGTTTGTGGATCATTATAGATTGCAGTATGTATGTACTGTTGCATCAGTCGAAAGCTATTGTTCTTAGGAACTAGTATTCACATTGACTTACAAAGTTAATAAGATTTTAGCGTTTTATATTTACAGTTCACTTCAGGTGCCAGCAGTATATCTCAAAAAGCAGCTGTTGCTGCACTAGGACTGGGATATGCTGGTGGAGAAGCTGTCTCAACTATGGTAAAGGCATTTCGTGAGCGGAGAGATTTTTTGGTTAAAAGCTTTGGTGAAATGGGGGGCGTCAAAATTTCCGAGCCTCAGGTAAAAATGTGATTTGTTTTCGTAACTATTTCCTGGATCTGAAAAAGGGAAAAAAGAGATGGGCACTTCCTACATTTTTGGAGTTACAAACAAGTTTTCTCTTTCATCCTTCCTCATCTTCTTGTATTTGAGCTTGAGCTCTAAATGTCTTGGTGTTGGACTGTCTAGAGCTCATTTTGCTATTCCCTTATCCCTATTGGGCATTCATATTATTTGGCCTCCCTAATTTCCTACTATATATAAAGGAATTTGATGGGCCTTTTTTAGAGATAAAGATTGAGAGGCATTATATCACTACTGTAAACTTCTTCTCAATTTAGTGAAAACATGCAGAGGGGAGTGGACATAGCTCTCATATTGAGGGTGAATGACTATAAGCCCATGTTTGATCCTCATTCTCCAAAAATTCATTTTTCCCCAAGCTCATTTTCAACCACACTCCCCCAATAAAATACTTTTGCACAAAAACCCACAATTTTTTCTTATCTTTTTAGCCACACATTCTCCAAAAAATAACTATTGGGAGACTCTTTTTTTTGTGAAAAATAGGGGCTCAAACAGCTCCTTAATGTGTTTTCTTTGCATTTTTCAGAGTTCTACTTGCTTAATATTGCACTCGGGATTAGGAATAAGTCTTAATCCCCAACATTTTGGAGCCTTCTTGCAGGGAGCTTTCTATCTATTCCTCGATTTCAGCTCTTACTACGGAAAGGAGATTGATGGCTTTGGAGTGATTGATGGTTCGGAGTCTCTTTGTCGATATTTACTCGATGAGGCTCAAGTAAGAGATTCATGCACTTTCTATGATGAAACTTGACTTAAAAATCTTTGCATTTTTCGTAAAATACTTGTCATGTGTGGAAACTGGAAAGCATATAGAATTGTAAGTTGATAATGATTGAAGACACCACAATTCCTAAATAGCTCTTTTCTCACTTCTATGACTGTTTGGGATGGCACCACGTCAAAAGGTTAGCAATTTTTGGTTTAAGGAAATGCTACTGTTTAGGATGAGAATATGATCGGCTAGTCTTAGGTGTAAGCAATTCTTTTTTCTAATTTTTTGTTTTAAGACATGTTTGGGATGTGTTACTTTAAATGTTACTTATTTCTAACATTGACCCAAAATTTTTTATTTTAGAACTTACCTATTTACTTGTAAGTAAACCTTAAACTTGGCCTAACATAGCTAGTTGTAACGAATTTGCCTTTGGGCTGGAAAACTCAAAGCAGAAACAAAGTTTTGTCAATATATTTGGGTACAAATTAATTTTTTTTGTAGGTTGCACTTGTTCCAGGGGATGCATTTGGGGACGATACCTGCATCCGCATCTCCTACGCAGCATCTCTTTCGACTCTGCAGGCAGCGGTTGAAAGAATCAAGAAAGCACTGATTTCACTAACTCCTGCTGTTCCTGCTTAAGGCCAGAATATTTGGGAATTTGGTTGTATGATTATTGCAAGATTCAAAAATTGCGTTAATATGTTCAATTAACAGTACAATCGATGAATCCAGTGGAATTCATTATCGTTTCACATTGACTTATGTTTTGTACTGGATATTATAGTTGACAAGATTTTAGTTTCTTTTATTCTTTAACATGATATTATTGTTGTGTAATCCATGTTACCACATATGTATCTTGTTAGATTATATTGAGTTTTGCATTGATAGGTGCCTATAGAAGCTAGAATTGTTCATCATAGACCTCTTATATTGGTCATTTGCACTTCTATCTTTTAACTTTTTTATTTTCCCAATTTTTTTCTTGGTATTTAGCTTTTCATTTTTAGGTGGAATTGGTCTACACTAACGGTTTTGTATATAATATGCATTACTTTTGGAGAAACAATTTTACCCTAATACTTAAGTTAGCAAATAAATAAATGAAACAAAAAGAAGTAAAGTAAAAAGAGATCTTATTTTTGTTTGGGATTTATTTTCTTCTCCTTAAAATTTACTTTTCTCAGTCAACATTAATTTTAACCACATATCTCGTAGGACTTATAAGTACTATTTAATTATCTATCACTCTGTTCTTAAAACTATAATTCTAGCAACAAAAAATGAAACCCAAACAGAGGCGCGCAATCCTCTTGGTCTCAAAATAAGAAAAAAATAATTTATTAAGTAGGTTCAAACTTTACTTTCTTTCTACACTAACATGCATATTACCTTGTTAAGATAGAGATAGAACTTTAATTTTTTAATAATACTGTAAAATACTATCAACGACAACCACATAAATAATCATTATAGTGGTCTTCAGCATTTAGGGGTCACAGAAGACAAAATATCGACTATAGAATTTTGTTCAATAAGTAAAATGCATTCACTATTTTTTTTCAAGTTTAACACTATAAGATGGAGACAATCTTGACCGAAGAGATGAGAACTATCCCGTTAATGTAACATCCATAACCACAAAAAGACTTTAATTCGATTCTTGAAATTATCATCAAGCTTGATTAGGCTTAATGAATTCCGAAATAACAAAAAGAAAATAAACGCATTAGTGCAAATCAAAGTACATATCCTCGATATATATGGATGTACTGAAAAAAATATCAAGAAGAACTATAAAATTTTCAATTAAAAATTAATCGATTTTTAATCCTCGTAAGAAAATCTATAAAGTCATCACATTTTTCCATTTAATAAACTAGCTAGCAAGAAATATACACTAAAAATGAAGATAGTACAAAACGAAGTTCAAATCTTGTTTATCGTCATCTATTGTTCAATATTGTGTTCCAAACATGCACTTAAGGTCTTCTTTACCCTGATCTGCAGTTCCTGTTTTCCATTCTTTCTGCAGATCGTTTCTTCAACCCAATAATCTGCTTCTCCCAAACCCTCCTATAACTGCCCCTTCTGCTCTCAAATACGTCTTCAAAACACAACTCATAATCATAAATCTCTCTCGAATTCGGATCAGACAGTGTCTCATAAGCTGTTCTTAGTTCAATGAATCGTCTGGTAGATTCTTCTTTTGTCAAGCAAGTACAAACATCAGGATGATATTGAAGGGCCAAGATTTTATATGCCTTTTTTATCTCATCAAAACCTGCATTCTGGGAAGAAAGAGAAAGAGACTGATAAAAATTAGGTTTCCCAGTTTGCATGGCTGCTAAAGCTGGAGCTTGACAGGATATAGGCTTAAGCTTGAAAACCATGTGATTCATTTGCATGGCAGAGAGGGAGAGAGAGAGAGAGAGAGAACAGTGAAGTAAAGAGAAGATTGAAGTGAAGCCTATTTATAGAATGTGCTTGGACTATTTTTAACTACCTGCAGGACGGGTTTTGGCTAAGCCTAAAACGATGTTAAGTTACTTTTTGTCTCCAACATATTTGAATAATTTACTTCTAGTAGCTTTACGTTAAAAAAGTTACTTTTTTTCAAAATAGTATTTATCTTTCAAAATAAATAACTTACTCTGTTTCTACACCAATCATGAGTGCGTTTCTTGTTTTTAGTGATAGCGACGAAAAGATCTGAAAATAACGAAGGTTCGTCCCACACTATAATGACCTTAATATTATAAACCCTGAAATTAAAGTCCTTTTTTTTTTTAAGATATGGTTGGGTATGGCGTGTTGAACATAATTTTGGCCTGAAGTATCCGTCGGTTTTTGTTTGGACAAAGCCAGTTCACGTTCTCCCAACATTTTCTTAATTAATAAATAATTGCAATTTTGATTGGATTAGGCTGTTTTTGTGTTGTTTTAGGCGGAATGCATTTTGTCCCATTGCATTTTAATGCAATCTTGATACAGTCCAAGAACGCAAATGGCGAGGCTAAATAGTTAATTATAGTTCAAACAAATGGCGAGGCTAAATAGTTAATTATAGTTCAAAAATGTTATTAAAAATTAGTTTTACCAACCAGAACATAAAATGGCAAATTGAAAGTCAGAATGATTGAAAATATTTCATGTGACAGTGCCACAATATATATTTTTATACTAATTGCTAATTACTTAGGGCCAATCAATAGGCCAAAGCTACAAACAAAAATCTTCTATTTGTCTTAAAATCTCTTAAGCAATGTTTTAATTATTTAATCTTAAAACTTTTATACTAGACCCTGAAGAACTAAAAGTTTTTTATTTTTCTGGTCATTTTTATATTGCATAGATAAAAGATTTCAAGTCGATTTAGGGGTTGGATCGTGGTCTTGTTCGTTTGGATCGATTAGGGGTAGTCTATTTACGTAGGCAGGATTGATTTTGTTTTGCTTAGTGGGTTTAAGTTGTATGGGGTAGATATTATGCTTGTATTGTAACCACGGTTTTTCTCCACCATGAGTGAGAGTCTTTTCAATAAAGATTAAAAAAAAAGTGGATTTAGCTGATTGAAACATATTTTGACTAGATTTATTAGCTCTTATTTATCAATGTGAGATGATCTCAATAAAATCGGTAGTAAAATAGGTTAGGAGGAGGGATAGATCATAGCATATTTGGCCTTGCCTAAAAATTGATTTTATTTTGACATGACTCCACATGCTATAAAAAAATATCTTTTTTAATGGTGAAAATTGGATCTTCGGAATTATCTCTTCCGCTTCGATGACCTCTAAAAGAGGACGAAAATTCTCTTTATTTTCTCTCCCGCGTAAGAATTAGTATGACAAGAAAGATGAAAATATTCTTGAAAGAAATGAGCATAAACAAGTTAAAAAGTCCCAAACCTTAGATATTCTCCTAGTTTATATAGAGAAAAGGAGATGTGGTTTACTACCGTTAGCCATTATAAGGTTATCCTTCCTCTAATTATGGCCAAAAGTAAAGATGTGGCCCTAAAGCTATAGAAAATGGATATTTCCATCAAATGGTTTTTAAAGTAGGGCAAACATACTTTGCTGTGATGGCAAATGTCTAGCTGTGATTCATGGCGCATGAAATTTTCTAAACAATAGGCCACAAAATATAAATAAAAATATAAAGTTTTCCAATTCTTTGTATCCTCATTTCCTTGCTTCATCCTACTTACTAATTCAACAAATCTTAATTTTGTTATAAAATGAGAGAATAATAGAACAAGATAATAAAATTAAGAGGATTAAAACTCAAGTGTATATTTCATTATAGTGATGAATCCATATATAAAGTTTCTGAGAGTTGTACAAAGATCAAGATACAGAAATAGTCTAGATATTCTAATAAGATTAAAGAGTCATTCATAATTATTTATTATTTTACAATGTTCCCTTTAAATGATTATTTACACAATAATTGCTTTGTTAAGAATCTTGTTTTGAAAAACTCTCTAGAACAAAAATACCAAACGAAGAAAAAAAGAATTAATTAATTATAAAAATTTAGAGCAATGATACGCTGCATAGTTAAAACTTTGTGAGGAAAGGCCAATGAGACAAATCTGAATGAAGTTTTGCATATTTATAAATCTCTTATCAACTAGTGAGCATGATGGTATGTTACAATTACATTAAAAACAAATCTTGTTATTGCTCTCTTCGAGAGTTTTGCATATTTGTAGGATGTGAGAAACTCTATAGTTACCGTGATGATACATGCCTTATATATTATGGACATTCATAACAATCCATTACGCACAGAGTTTCTTTGTTAAAACCATTATTGGAAAACCTTGGGATAAACCTTGCATCATTAAAAATCTTTGGGATAAAACCTCGATGAAAGAAAAAAGATTACATGTATTTACTCCACTTCATGTTGATACCACTTGAGGTCTATATATCGTGCTTATTAACTTCTCAAGTGTTGCAGTAGATAATGCCTTTGCAAACATGTCTGTCGCACAAGTTATCATGATAGCTATACCTGAAGAGATAAACAGGTTGATGAGCTTTGTTTAGATCAAATAATATCTTACATCATCATAACCATCTAGTCCCGAATCATGGACAGTTATCAAGATACAATATTCCATCTCTTGCATTAGGATATTGTACTTTAGGATTAATAAGTTCTTTATTATCATCTTGAGGACTTTTTCTACCTAAGTTGACCTATATCAATAATTCAATTGGCTAAATACTAGATCTGCAGGCTGATGCAAAATTTTATTTTATTTTTTTCCAAATTTTTATCATGAATTCCTTATTTTAAGTAATCAACCACCTTTATAAGCTCTTCAGGAGTTCCAATATTTTTTTAGATTATCAACATCAACAAATAATTTGACAAGTTCATATATTAATTTATTTAGTAAATCACGTGGGAAAATCAGGTCATTACTGTACTCTTTTCTAATAGATATTTACTAAGACAATCATTCTACATACGTCCGAATAGCAAAGTATTTCTACACTTTGATCGAATAAGTGTCTTACAAACTTGGTTTATATGCTTTGGGCATATTAGCACTATCTGTTTGTCTCTCTTTAAAATAAAACTTTTTAATTCTCATATTCATTTTCAACCACACATTTACACGATAAAATATTTTACACGTAAACTCAAAACTTTTTCATACATTTTAACCACATATTCTCCAAAAAAATGATTGTTCAAAACTCCATTTTTTTCAAAATAATGCACATCAACAGGGGCTAAATACGTGTTTGATAGAGATTTTTGAGAATACATTTTGTGAAAAATGTTATAACTTAAGTTTTTAATTTTCGAAACTTAAAATTGATTTTAATTTTCAGTTTTCCTTTATTTTAATATTCAGATTTAATAGAAAATTAAAAGTCATAATTATATATTTTAACTTACACTGTAATCGAATTTATTCTCATTAGTGTGAGGAGTTTAACTTGTACACTATAAAAATGGAGGAGATTTTATAGTTTGGACACAACATGAAAACACAACTTGAGATACTTGAATACAAAAATACACCATCTATATTTTATATTTTATTTCTATAGTTTTGCTAACTCGATAAAGACTTGTCATCTTCCTGTGATCGTATCCATAGAAGGAGATCCGACTATGAGCCACATAAGTGTTATCTTGGAGCCATGTATCACCAAAAGTACATGCACATCACTATGCCAAAAATGAGCTTTCGCAACA